GCAGGCGCGCGTTCTCGCCCGCGTCGGCGTCCACCGCCTGGATGTGCAGCACCGAGTGGCCCAGCGGCACGTCCTCCAGCACGGCCGCCTGGAAGGGGCTGCTGACGAAGATGGGCGCGTTGTCGTTCACGTCCAGCACCTGCACCGAGACCAGCCCCGAGGCGTTGATGAGCGGCGGCCGGCCCCCGTCCTGCGCCTTGATGCGCAGCGTGTACTCGCGGATGGCCTCGAAGTCCAGCGGGTTGATCACGTCGAGGCTGCCGCTCAGCGAGTGCAGGTAGAACTGGCCCCGGAGGTTCCCGCTGACGATGCTGTAGTGGATGGCCGCGTTCTGGCCCTGGTCGCGGTCCGTGGCCTGCACGCGCAGCACCGGCGTGTTGACCGCCACGTCCTCGGGCACCTGGACCACGTAGCGCTTCTCGCTGAACTGCGGGCAGTTGTCGTTCTCGTCTTCCACGGCGATGTGCACCGTGGCCGTGGCGCTGCGCGGGCCCGGGTTGCGGCCCTGGTCGTTGGCCTCCACCAGCAGCTGGTACCGGGCCTCCTCCTCGCGGTCCACGGCCGCCCGCGTGCGCACCACGCCCGAGCGCGCGTCGATCTCGAAGACGCCGCGCGCGCCCTCCAGCAGGCGGTAGCGCATGTTGGCGTTGGAGGGCGCGTCGCCGTCGGTGGCGCGGATGGTCAGCACCTCGTAGCCCACCTCCAGGTTCTCGCGGACGCGCTCGCGGTACTCGGACTGCTCGAAGACCGGGCTGTGGTCGTTGGTGTCGCTGACCGTGACGGTCAGGTAGGTGGCGGCCGAGCGGCGCGGCGAGCCGTGGTCCACGGCGCTCACCTTGAGCACGTGCGTGTCCTTGGTCTCGCGGTCCAGCGGGCGGGCCGTGCTCACCGCGCCCGTGCCGGGGTCAATGGCGAAGAAGCCGTTGGAGCGCTCGTCGAACAGCGCCTCCATCTGGTAGCTCAGGCGCCCCGCCTCGCCCTCGTCGGGGTCGTGCGCCCGCAGCTCGATGACCGCGGTGCCCGCCGGCTCGTTCTCAGGCACCGACACCTGGTAGCTGGGCAGCGGGAACTGAGGGCTCGTGCTCCCGCCCGCGCCCCG